AGTAGTACAATATTATGTACTCATGGCAAAGAAATCATTAGAAATTAGTTATTAAAGCTATTATGTTAAGAATTGTGTAGAAAATTGGGAAAAAAATAAACAGGGGAGCTAATAATTCTGGAGAGCTAATAATACTGACTTCAACTGTACCTTAATAATGCATAAATTAGGTCACATGATCGTCACGTCAGATATCATTCAGCAAGTCATATGATTTAAAGAATCATTCATATGTTTAGTACAAGCACTATGTGACAGGCTTTTTGGTGAACTTTTAACCCTAAATAATATACGAGTAATGCAACAATGCCACATGTTTTACAACTAGATGAAAATTACTACATTCAAGCCATTGACTTTTACTGCGGGCAATTTTATTGAAGAGGATTGTATCATTGCATGTTGTAACTGCGTTTATTGGAGTATTTCGTCTCGTCTATTTAGGAAATCGCTGGCTGTACAATTGTTGTTCTCAATATTCCAATGATTTAATTTCACAGAGAATTATATCAATATTTGTGTGATATAATGCATCACTTTTGCTTGTGTATAACAGAATCTAATCCCCCATTTAACTTCACTTTTCAATTTTTCTATTAATCCTATTCTTCGCATCCAAAGTGCATGTTAGTACTAGGCATGGGACGATAACCGTTTTTTAAGGTATACCGCGGTTTTAAAACCGTCAAAATTGTATGCTATACCATTCCTACGGTATGTGTAGGATTCTTTATTTACATTTTTTTTTTAGGACAACATTATCTTCAGCAGAAAAGATATTCAGAGGAGGCATGGGCCGGTATAAGATTCTGGCGGTATGATAACCTTGGATAAAAATATCACGGTTTCACAATATTGCGATTACTGCTCTAAAATATAATCTTTTTAAATGTCTGGATAAAACTTTTTCCCCTTTGAACACGATCAATTTTATTTTGAGAAACATTTAAAATATTTTGGAGCAGTAACAGGGTTTCTACAGGTTTCAAGTCAAATTTAAGACTTTTTAAGACCTTCTTAAGACCATAATGAATGAAATTTCAGACTTACACAAGGCTAAACGCAAAAGATTTTTTAATAACCAAGTTAAAACCTTAAAAAACAAATGTTATTGTAAAGATGATAATTAAACCATATCATTAAGTAAACAGAGTTAATAAATAAATGTTTCTTAAAAATTGAAATATATTGTTAGTGATTGGATGGGAGTTGGCCCAATTAGGAATAGTTTTACATGGAAAATTAAGACCCATTTAAAATTATTTAAGACCTACAACACAATATTTCAGTGGATTTTAGAAGGCCTAAAATTTGGTTTTTGAAAATTAAGACTTTTTAAGACCTCGCAGATACCCTGAGTGAACATGTCAGGCTAAATAATTTAAATATATCATTGACTTCTGCTGGCTTCATTTGTTTCAAAAACACAGATTTCTTCACAATTTAAAATGGCGTCTTTATATATCTTTTCTGCTGGAAATACTGTTGTCCTAAAAAACAAAACAAAAAAATAAAATAAAATAAAAAAGTAAATAAAAAAATCTTACATATAACTTAGGAACGGTTGCAGAAAATTTGGGCAGTTTTGAAACCTTGACTTTTCCAAACTGTGGTATACCTTGAAAACGGTTATCGTCCCATGCCTAATCCAGATTTGCCATTTTGAATTGTAAAGAAATCATTGTTTTTGAAATGAATGAAGACAGCAGAAGTCAGCGATTCATTTATTCAGTCTGACATTTTGTTGTTTACCCAGACATTTAAGAAGAATATATTTTAGAGCAGTAATCACAATACCGTGAAACCGTGATAGTTTTATCCAAGGTTATCATACCGTCAGAATCTTATACCAGCTCATGCCAAGTTTGTACCATGAACACGAATACCCATTCTTTAAAATGATAGATATTAGAAGTATTTTTTAAATAAACCCAAAACAGGTTTAAAAGTAAAAAGTTAAAGGGCACAGAAGGGTGATTTGAAGTTTAAATAAAACCATCTGCTCAATTAATACATATAAATGTAATGTCCATGATGGGTGTACTGTCCCTTTAACGGATTTTATGCTCCAGAGTTTCATGTGCAGTTGATTTCCAAAGGATTTAGTCAGCTGAACATCGAGTGTTTCTCACGCTGAGAACACAGACTGGGGCTCATCTTACCCAAAACACCTTACATAACATCCTCACAGGCCTTTTAACAGCGTGTGTGTGTGTGTGTGTTTATGTGCGTAAGAGTGAAATGAGAGCACATTCCCACTGTTAGTGAGATGAAACAAGCTTTCTTTTGTTCTTCTGTTTAACAGAAGAAAGAAATTCATAAAAAAAGTGCGATAAGGGTATGTTTACCGCACAAAATAAGTAGAAACCATACAAATAAAGGCTATTTTTGAGGTATATTATATTTGTAAATAGCTACTTAGCACATTCTTAATGCTGATTGGCTGCAAGTTTGCTTTTGGATTTGGTCCGACAGTAGTCAAAAGCATTTTTCAAATATTGCTCAAAGTTTCATTACAATCATGATGGCAGAATGTAATGGTCAATTCAATCATGTGTATCCAGAATTTCATTATTGCCTGCATTCTTGTATCATCCCAAAACTTTACATTTCTTTTAACGGCAAAGCAGAATCGTGCTTCCTTACTGAAAAGCTGCTTTGAACTGGTAGTATTATGAAAAATACTAAACAAATAAATGTAGACTGAAAACAAATACAATGCACTGAATTAACAGCCCTAAATGCAGGGTTATTACATGTATTGCAAAGTCAAATTTAAGCACTTTTCAGTCTTCACTTAAGTGTGGCAAAATTACTTATTTACTATAAAAACATTGCCAAAAAATGTATTACTAATACGAATAGTTATAGTACAGTTTATCGTATAGAAAGGAAATATTTTAATGGTATGTCTGAGAGAAGGGGTGGAGACATTGATAGACTTTTATTACAGAGGGAAGCATTTTACATTTACACACTGAATACTTTATCTCCAAGAGGTTTAAATTTGGATTTTGACTTAAAATGCTTTTTGTAAGTGTATTTATATCCTATACTGTTGTATACTAAATTTGTGTCAGCAATTGTTTTCCCCTTGGTTTACTGGCCTTGTGGTTGATTGATGTGATTATTTTTTGCAGGTGTGAGGCGCTATATTTATACATTGAATACTCTCCAAGGAAGTTAAAATTTGTATTTATATTTTAAATCTTTTTTGTAAGGATATGTATGCATCTCGTATTGTCATATGTTTATTGTTGTATGTAAATGTTCCTGTTTACTGGCTTGTTAGCTGATTGTGATGATTGACTGCAGGTGTGTTGTGTAGAGCTGTTTCAATACTGCTTAACCTGATGAAGACCATGTCGGTCGAAACGTTGTGTGAGTGATGTTAAACACTTAAAAGAGCTAAAGTGGCAGTGTGCCGATTTTCTTTTGATCTTTTGCTACTGATGTTTATTTTTGATTGAGCACCTGCCTTCGAGATTTTCTAGATGTGCGCACATTTCTGTTTTTTATGTTTGCCCCAAGCACAACATTGGCTTATTGTTATTAATTTCTCCTTCTGCATCTTAAATGTGTATAATTTCCTCTTAAATGTTTATTTATTTTCATCTTAAAGGGTGCAGATAAAAAGACAGGCAGATTGTGCAACAGGCATACAATGCTCAGCATATATGAGTACACCCCATTTTAAAAATGAATATTTTAAAAATTTTTATCCATCTCCCAGCGTATATGGTTAATATATATTGGTGCATTTGAACAAAACAGATTCATTAAACAGATATGTTTATTAAAATAATATTTTAGTAACCAAACATATTTAGAAATGGAAAGATAAAACATTTAAAGTCAACTAACTAAAAAATTAAAAACTACATTTGAACATAAAACATAAACATTAAATAAAATTTAAATAATATAAAATTTATTTATTGATTTATTTTTTTTGCTTCTCTTGATTTTTCCTCTTTTTAAATTTGTATTTAATATTTTTCTATAACATATACATTTGGACTACAAATTTTTGAACCCTTATTGTAAGTTATTATGTTAGATTAGCTCCACATTTGGCTTCAGTGCTGACTAATCTAATGTATATGCACAAATACAATATTGCAAGAAATAGAAAATATTAATTTAAATGAGAGATTTGTGGGAGATGTACTCATTTATGCTGAGCGATTTATGTGCAGATTTTTCATTTTATGCAAAAGCAAAGATATATTTTGTGAATTATTATTTTTTTATAATTATCATTACCTACTTTGTTAATTATTATTACCTAGTTCACAATATAAATTACTTTGAAAGCAATGATTACATTTTCAAGCAGTTTCAAGCACAATCTAAAACCAAAGCCTTTTTCAAATCTTGAAAACACATTAATATTCAAGCACTTCCAGCTAGATCCAGATATACTGCACTTTTCTCAGCCCTAAAAGCTTATTACACATCAAGGATGAGGTATTGCATTACACAAAGCATTAACCTCATTTAATGTGGCTTTTTATGGTTCTCTATTTGCGCCACACCTACGGATGTCAACTTCTCGTGACTGGCTCAGAGTTATTGGACACGCAGCTCTGTGTTTTCTGGCTCAAACGCATGTGACTGCATTCAGCAGGGGAGGAGGGTAAACACCTCCCTTTTTCAGCGAATCAGGCGGTGGGCCTTGGCTGCAACCGACCAATGAGGAAGAAGGTATTCAGAGAGCGTTTCCATTAGCGCAGCCAAAAAAGTGGCATGCTTTCTTTTTTTATACGTGTTCTTTGCGAACAAATACATTTGTACAGCACTTTGGCCAGCATGAACTTGAACTTGAATGTGCTCTATGAATAAATTCAAAGATATAACCAGTGAACAAGGAACAAGGCAAAGCAAATAAACTATGCATATATAGTATATACTATATAAAAATGACAGGCTTCTCTCAAAAGATAATAAGAGGCATCACTGTGGAAATTTCTCCGCTTTTATTTACCTTTAAACAAAAAGTGTCATGTCTAAAACGATTCATACCCTTTTCGATAATCAATAGCAAAGCCTTTATTGGCTATTACAGCAATCAAACGCTTAATTTAATTGCTGACCAGCTTTTTGCATGTCGCCACTAATATTTTTTGCCCATTTATCTTTAGCGATGAACTCCACCTCATTCCGGTTGGAGGGTCTCCTTGCTATAACCTTGAATTTCAGCTCTCTCCACATATTCTCAATTGGGTTTAAGTCTGGACTCTGGCAAGGCCACTGCAAAACTTTGATGTTTTGGTCTGCTAACCATTTCTTCACCATTTTTGCTTTGTGTTTTAGGCCACTGTTGTGCTAAAATGTCATGCATAACATTGTATATCATCTTCTTATCTTTTGAGAGAAGCCTGTGTCGTTTCTGGTCAAAAAAATGAAGAAAAGTAACTTTAAGTCAGAATTTTCCATGAGTATGAATAAGTTTGGGCTTGACTTCATATATAAAATATCACATTAACCACAACGAAAAGCACCAAAAATGATCAAATATTACAAATATAACAAAATTAAACATATAATCTCTCCCTCACATCAACTTTTAATGATGCATAACCTTCATAATCATGTAAAGATTTCAAATATATAAACAATAATATTGTTGTTGGTAAGAGAGCCAACCATTTAGTCAATTTGTTCTTGAAAATTAGTTGTTGTACTCATCTAATATATACGTATATAAGTCAATCGTTCTATTACCTCAAATTCTATTACTATTTTGAACCTTTCACATTCGTATTTTTGCCTCTTAACGGCATTTTGGGGGATTATTACATCTTTTTACATGTTGATAATAATATCCTTAATAAATATCTATCCTCTTTTTCAGAATAGCATGGCTTCAATGACACAAACAAGTCAATAATCCTCAGCCTAAAAATGCAATCTCATGTCATTTAATGACAGGACTGAGGAAGGGAAAATAAGCTCGACTCACTCCATCTCCTTCTTCTCGGCCTCTTCTTGCGTCAGATCCTCCTCGACACTGTAGTCTAAAACCGAACCCACACCAAACGCCTGGTTCTTCTCGATCAGTGGTTTGATGGAGTTCTGGTCCTCTCCCGCCACAAACTGCCCATAGAAAGTCATTTTCATCAGTTTCTCAAAGAGCCGCTGGCCGAGAATCTTCTTGCTGAGGTCTATCAGCTGTTGATGGAAAAAGATGGAAATGCCATGTAAATAAATGTCATGATGATACAGACAAACTGCCTACACTCATTTCCAAAAAAAATTAATTAATTAAAAAGAATAAACTAAATATTATATGTTATTGTACTTTACTGGAAATTTAAGTAAAATTAACTAAAAATGTAAAATCTCAAATTCACTATTTTTAATAAATATATTTAAACTATATTTCCTTTATTTATTTCTATTTATTTATTTTTGTTATTTATTTCAGCTTTGTTTCCATGGAAGCATTTCTTAAAAAATAAATAAATAAATAAGAATTAGTTATGGATTCTACGTATTTATAGATCCTAGTCATTAAAATGTACATTATATTTGTGAATGTGTGATAGATATGATATATATGATACATTTCATAAAGGTCTATATATTATACATATAAAAATAGAAAAATCTGTATATATTGAGTATATATAAATAGTTTATTTGTATTATATGCTACATATGTTGCATATACAAGTTACTAAGCTCAAGTTCTGAACATCTTTTTTACATGTATAAAGTTTTGCTAAACTTTTTAAAGTATTTTATTTTTCATATATTACATATATTAGATACATGCACTGAGTGTTATTGATGACATAATATTACTTGCATTGTAATATTTGGCTATGAGTATTAAATATTGATCATATAAAATATAGCAGCTTTCATTCAGTTTTATACATATGATGTTACATTTTCAGCTTACCGAGCTCAAGTTTAAACTTCTTTTTTTTTTTTATTCTAAACAGAGTTTTGCTTTACACACTTTTATGTATTTTTTTATTTGTTTAATATTACATATATACAGGCCTTTAGCCAGGGGGGTCCGGGTAGTTCGACAAAGTCCAGAATTTGGCCCCTATTGTAGCTCATTTATCCCATTTTTGACAGCATGCCATCATAAAGTGTAAAATGACCAAAAGAGAAGGCTTTAAGAAGAATAACCAATAAAAAGAAGGCTTTTAGTTTAATTTTAATTTAATTTTTTATAAATTTTAACAGATTCCTAATTATTTGTTGTTGTTTTTTGTTGTTGTTTTTTTGATGGATAATAAATTAGCATTTAAAATAGTTTTTTTCATATTTCTAAAATTCTAATCTCACTACATTATTGATAAAACTGCAACAACTTTTGTAAAAAAGCACATTTGTGAATTAACACATTTTTCTAAACAAAAAAATAGTAAAATAAGCACTTTGACAAAAATGTATAGGAAGTATTTTTGTTCCATCAAAAAATGTGGTTATGAAAACCATCCGACCAGCTAATCCAGCACAAATTAGTGTTTAAAATGTCACAAAAATGCAGTATTTAAACCTTAAATAACTGCAAAAAGGTAATTTTTTAGAGAAAAAAAAATAACCACCCCTACGGGCTTGATATAGCAACACTGAGTGTCAGTGTTATATTGATGCCATTATATATACCGGTTGGGCGAAGCAGTGGCGCAGTAGGGTCGCTGGTTCGAGCCTCGGCTCAATTGGCATGTCTGTGTGGAGTTTGCATGTTCTCCCTACATTTGCGTGGGTTTCCTCCGGGTGCTCCGGTTTCCTCCACAGTCCAAAGACATGCAGTACAGGTGAATTGGGTAGGATAAATTGTCCATAGTGTATGAGTGAGTGTGTGAATGTGTGTGGATGTTTCCCAGAGATGTGTTGCGGCTGGAAAGGCATGCGCTGCGTAAAAACTTGCTGGATAAGTTGGCGGTTCATTCTGCTGTGGCGACCCCAGATTAATAAAGGGACTAAGTCGACCAGAAAATAAATGAATGAATATATAACGGTAAGCATTAACGTTATACGTGTGATATGACATACACTTTACCGAGCTCAGGTGCAGAGGTTTTTCCATATGTTAAATAGATATATAGTTGCATTGATTGAGTCTTAAATATTGATGATATTACATATAAAGTTACCTGTTTTCATTTAGTATTATACACCTAATATTTGCCTATATTCAGGTTACCTAGCTCCTAAACTCTTTTTTTTTTTTACATTTAACGTTAATAGGTTTTGGTATATCTTTTATTTTTATGTTAAGTATTAAATATATACATATATTGAGTATTAAATTATGATTATATTCCATATATCGGTTTCCATTCAGTATTAACGTTAACTTATATGACATTACACATGACATGACAGGTTACCGAGCTCAAGCTCTTATCCTCCCCGACAAAAACAAAAAACAAAAGTAAAACTCGCCTCTTTATTTTTGTCGACCAGGAAGTCAAATGTACAGAGTTTGAACACCAGCAGACTCCTGAGCAGCTCCAGAGTGTGTTTGCTCCTGTAGGCTTCTCGTGTGTTGTCGAAGTCGATGGAGATCCTCTGGCCGCCGATGTGCGCCTTCTTCCCCCCGATCAGATCCACATCGCACGGGGTCTCCAGGATGGCGCAGGACTGCTCCAGAGGCGCTTCATCCGTCTTCAGCTCTTTGTGCTGGGTTGATGCGACTGTTGAGCGAAGCCTCACGCCGAATAAACGAGTCGGTTTTACTCTGTATATAACTTTCGAGTACGACATGTTTTGTGTTGAGGAGCGGCTCCGACAGAGCGATAGATGATTCTGGATGAATGAGGGGGAAACGGCTCGGGTGGTGGGGTTGTTAAAGCGCGCTTAAAATATGTAAATGAGATGCTACGCTCTGAGTCCTGATTGGCTCACGGTTGCAGACGTAGAGGATTGACTCATTTGGATATGAGTCAACTGTATGTATATATATGTAATGTATGTATGTATGTATGTATGTATGTATGTAGGTATATATATATACAGTTGAAGTCAGAATTATTAGCCCCCTGAATTATTAGCACCCCTGTTAATTTTTTCCCCAATTTCTGTTTAACGGAGAGATTTTTTTTTATATATATATATAAGAAATATTTAGATAGATATACCATACACATTTAAATATCTTTGTAACAAATTATTTTGAATAGTTTTGCTTTTATGTATGTGTGTGTGTGTGTTAAATATGTATCAAATATATATTTTGGATGTGTTTAATCTTGGCTCAGCACCAATATATTGTCTTTTCGACTCAGCATTTGTGTATTTACTGAATAAAGACAAAAAGTCCATGATTACAAGCTCTCTCCCTGATCTCTGTGGATGGGTGTTGGTTTAAATTATGTATGTCCCGAAAGTGGTTTTACTGGTTTGTCTATTGAGAACATGATCAGTCCTTCACACTTGTTTATTTCTTACTAAGAAAATAAGCTCATGAAATATAAAGATGATCTAGTGACACTGTGTGGTCATTATATGTTAAAACATCAAAGCAGGTCCCTTTCTTGTAACGTCACTTTAGAAGGGATGCAGCTGCGGGCAATGTTAAGAATAATTTTATATTATTTATTAAATTAACCATTAACTGTATTTTATTAACGTCTACCGCCACCTCAACCCATCACAGTAATGTAAAATATTCTAAATATTTATTACATTATTAAATTATAACCTCTGTTGAAAATGTGGTCATTCTGTGGGCATTTTTTTACATTTGATGCGGAACTGTGGTGGCTCCATCAAGAGTTATTCAGAACCTGGAGAAATGGCTGGGACAACCTTATTCCAAGAGTCTGTCTGGTGATACATTCACTTTACTAAACGGAATATCTAAAGCACAGACTGGGCTAGTCAGCGCAGAATGTATTATTGCTGTGAGACTGTACCGCGAAATTGGAAGAACTCAGATACTCCCTCTTTTAAGGAGTGAATTGAGCTGAAGACTTACTGAACGTGTTTTGGCGAGACTTCAGGACTCCACTCATACTTTTAATCAGAAATGGGGTAGCTTTTTTCAATATTTGGAGAGCACATAAAATGAAAATTGAAGGGTTGTCAATTTGAATGTGTGTTGTATTATTTTATATTTGTTATATTTTTTTTTATTTGCTATTATTTTTATTGTACTTTGTTTACATTATTTTCCTGAACGTTGATTTTTGTATTGTGAATTTCATGTTGTGTGGGGTATAAAAGTTCAAAATAAAATAAAAAAGTTCAATGAAAAAAAAACATTATCAAATGACCCAATAAATTGCATTAAATCCTATGCCATCGCTCACAGCAACATAAAAAGTAATAATTGTACAGTCACAAACATTATGCTATACTTGTGTGCGTATTCACAAGTGTATCCTGTATTCTAGACTTTACATTTATTGGACACTAATTGAAAAATTCACAGGAAAGACCCTGGAATTAGACTGGAGTAACAAGACTTTTAAATATTAAGACGTACAATGTTATATTAATTCAATGTCAGTGAACTTACTATTTATGGTTCTTTGCCTGATAAAGGGTTAATATAGAAATATAGAAGCTGCATTGCATAAATACCCTTTTCTTTTAAGTTTCTCCACAATTAATTAATTTATAAAGTAATTTATCAAGCTTGTTTTGACAGATACTGCCTTCTTCTGCCTTTTAACAGACCGACCTCAGATTCTGGACAACATTTCAGTTGTTTGTGAATCATTAGCTAAATTATCAGAAAATTATATATACAACATTTTTGATAAATTCACTAACGACTTTTTATTATTAGTAGTAGTAGTATTTAAATACCTATAATTTTATTTTAAAATATTAAAAAAGCACATTTAATCTAAATGTAAACTGAATTTTTTTTTACCAAAAATAAACTTATTCATGAGATCTATATATTAAAATGGAAATGCATTTCTTATTTTTAATAAAATATTAAATTCTTTTTTAAAAATAAAAATAATGTTATTGGGTCTTCAATATTCATTGTTGTTAACTGAAGAGCTCTTGCAGCTAAAAAAATAATAGTAATGTGTCTTCTTGAACATAACATTTTTAACATAAGTTGTAAATTACTGAAATGGCTCCTACAAACTTACGTTGCACCAGCTAAAGTGCATATATAGATTTATATTCCTTATAGTTGTACAAAATGCAATAAAGAAGTGGGTACCTTTTATCATTGTGAATGGGAGTGATATGAGATCCAAAAAAATTGGAAAGAGATTCTTATCATCATTGGTAAATTAATTGAAGAAAATAAACATTTGGTTCTTAAATGATGTATACCCTGTAAACCTGAATCTGAACACAAGCAAATGCAAACTATTAGATTTTAGTTTACTCCAAGCAAAGCGTGTTATTATTTTCAATTGAAAAAACTCAAAAGGCCATCCTGTGGTCAGTGGATTTTAAAAAATGACTAGCAATCTTGCTCTGGAGAAGCTGACATCTTCTGAAAATTACAAGATTTTTATAAAATATGCCCCCCCTTCAAAACACTTTTTGAACCAGGTGAAGCATACAACATTTTTTGATGTTCGAGCTTTCAAACCCTCAGATGTTACATTTACCGACAATTAACAAATTTGTTTAACCAGTAACACTGGAAAGCTGTCAAATGCAAGGTACAAAAATGCACTGAACATTGTTATTATTAATTTTTTTTATGTAGTTATTATTAGTATTTTTGTAATTTATTTACATATTTAAATTCACATTTTTAACCATTGGCCTTTTTATTTTTTTCAGTAGTTCAAACAAAACCCAATAAATATATCTTAGAAAAAATAAAAATGTATAATGATGTTTTAAATACTAATTATTATTATAGTATTATTAATTTTTATTGTCCTAAAACAATGAAAAATATTGCTTATCTATACACATATAAATACAGTTCTTGCCTCTTCTGATTATTATTGACATTTTTATTAAGGAAAATCAAATGGAATCAACATAGAAGTTGAATTGCATTTGTTATTTTTAATAAAATATTAAATCCTTCTTAAAAAACTTATACAATTGTATCTTTGTCTTCAACACTCATTATTTTTAACTGAAGTTTTTACTGCTTAAAAAAAAAAAGGTAAAAAGTAGATGTAAATCTCACATAAAAATAAACCACAGACAATAATTTTACCAATATTCCTAGTTTTGGATTTCAATTTTCATAGTACTAACCTTTTGGCCGGGCAATTTTGAGATCTAAATTATATGACACATCACCAATGCTAAATTTCTCTTTGAATTCTTATAAAGCCAAAACATCATAACTAACAACACATCAACTGAACATGAGTTTCATTGTTGAGTTTATTAATACAGAACTAAATTATAAGCACATTACAAATGAGGAAGAATGTGACAAAACACACAACAATAATTCAGTGATCAGTCTCTGTTTGTGTCCGCAGATCTTCAATCCGGCTGGATGGTGGAAAACACCGGTCGCAGAACACTGAAAACACCAGCGGATCCTCAGTCAGGCCCACATGAGAGCTGGATGATGACAGAACGGATGACTGAAGGCTCCACTGGCTGCATCAAATCCCCCGTTATTATTCCTCCTTCTGCTCATAATTGTGTTTGATGTGTTTCCAGAGTTTCTGAGGAAAACAAATATTAAAAAAATAAATAAAATCACATATTTCGATAAATAATTCATTTAAAAAAATAAATAAATAAAAGACGCCACGAGAAAATTGTAATATTTCTCTTTATTTATTAGTGAAGAATCTAACTAAGCATCTGCGAATCTTTGTAACCAACTATTTGTGTGTAGTTTCAAGAAAACAACCATTCATTTGTGTTGTGTTTGATTTTCATTTGTTTACATTCATTTATTCTTTATATAATTATTTAATTTAATCCTTTGAGCATTAGTCATTTAAATTATTATTGTCATTTAATTGATTTGTTGATGATTTAATTATTATTATTTGTCATGCGATTATGTTTTATACTTTATTATAACTATTTTCATATAATTATTGCTTTATTATTATTTAATTTTTTTATATTGTTATAATCTTATTTAAGCGACACTTGTTTTCATAAGTAAGAGATCAGAGAAGTCTCCATTTTAAGGTCTGTATTGTCTCTGGAGAATGTTGTGAAGCAGTTATTTTTCTATTGCTGTTGCTTGTGGTATAATAACACTTGTTGGTTTTATCCTAATCAGACGAAGTCTGAGCATTGAATTATAAGCAATTAAGATTATTCAATAAACTTTGCTCTTTCTTTATCATCATTACTTTGTCTCCTGCTTCTGCTCCTCTCTAGTTTTCCCAGTCAACTCCTATATTGATTGGAGACTGTTCATTCAGTTAATTATTGGTTAACACAGGGCAGCCCAAACTTGGTCCTGGAGGGCTGGTGTCCAGCAAAGTTTAGTTCCAACCCAAATCAAACACACATTGGCTAGCTAATCAAGCTTTATAGGTTTTAGAAACACCCTTGCAGGTGTAACCTCCAGGACTGAGTTTGAACACCCCTGGGTTAACAGGTTGAGTTATTGAGTTATCTGGCATGGAGAGTGTGATCTAACATTAGGAATGGGTTATATTTGCTTTTATTTTATGAATGTCTGATAACTTTTCTTACAATTTTCATAAACAATGTCATTTAGAGGATTTGTTTTCCTCGGGAGCTCAAAATTGGTCAAAAACACTAATATTTTCATTAGTTTTGCATAAAAAAAGGTTGTTTCATTCCGAATTATTAAACGCTATTCCTTTCCTCTTCAAACTAATATTCATTTACTTATTTGCAGTGGATTAGTTCATTTAGTTCAGATGCTCAAACTAGGGTGCCGCTGATGATAGTCTTTGATTTGGCCCGCCATCCCATCTGAAAAGAAAGGGAAAATGATGGGGATTGTTTCCAGTGTCAATTCAAATTTAACGTAACCCTCTGTTTGTTTGTTTTATTATTTTAAAACTTTTATAATTTTAAAACAAATACTGTCACCCGACAATGCAGAGAATTTGGTGAGCAAATCAAGTCAAAGGCAGATTCTGCTTGACTAATGTGTTCAGCGTTGACTTCCACTGTGTTATAAATGTGATTGTTTTTATTGCAATAATTTATCATCATTTAAAAACATTATTCTGCATTACATTATACAAAAAGTAATGTTTTCTATTTATTTAAAAATATTATGAAATAAATTATGAAATTACTCATGGTAACTTATAGTTTGGTAAATTTACTTTCTGCCCGCAGCTCTCAATGAAATTTAGTTTTTGGCCCTTCATACTGAAAAAATGTGGACAACCCTGATTTAGTGGTTATTGTTATTAATCTGCTGTTGTAGCACATTTTAAGAGACTCTTAATTTTTAAAAGAATCTAAATAAATTTATTTTTGAAAGCATCAGTTTCTAAACTCTTCTGAAGTTAAATATTAGTATTAAAACATATAAACGTGACTTTTTTTTGCCATTTTAAGCAACAAAAGTGCTCAAAAACATTTATTTCAGTTATTAAAATGTCATCAGTAGTATTTTACACCATAAAGTACTGTAAAACACTGTAAACCCTAAATCCTGACAACTGACAATGATTTCACAGCTGTGTATATTTACTTCATATCTTCACATTAACCTTACTCTTCAAATGGATTTAACAGTTTTATACATTAACTCATTATCTTCACATTCCCTTAATCTGTTTATTTAAGATATCACTGTGAAACTTATGTAACCCTCAGATATGAATTTTAGGCTTTACTATAACATTTTAATTCATCTCAATGTGTAGTTGCAGTTAGCAAGCGGGCTAATCAAGGTCAGGCTAGCGGTGGGTCATGGAGAAACTGGCTGTATTGAATCAAGATATAACTTACCCCCCGATTTATGCTTTCAAATAAAGCATTTCCACCCTGATCAAACAATCTCTCGAAGAAAACAGCGCCTACGACAACAGTCACGGCGAAAGTGGACGATCTTCTGAAGAGCAGGTTGTAGACCGTTTTAGAGAGCGCCATGATGGTCAATGAAGTGTCCCGGAAATTATGGGAGGAGCGATAAGCTGTCTGTCAAATCCCTCGACCAATGAGGACGCGTAGTTGAAAACATTTGTTAACCCCTTCCGCATCAGTAATTAAATTTTTTTTTTGGCTTTTATACTTATTTTTTGTCATCATTGCATAACAAGCTTTTTTTTTACAAGCTGAATTGAATGCGTCAGACAAATAATAGATTATATTGTTTGTTGTATTATGTATGAAGGACGAAACCTGCAAAAACATCAAATTAAATAAATACGTAAATAAATAACATAAAACATATTTGCGTATTTATTTATTTATTTATTTATTGTTTTTATTTATGCAGGAATTTGTGGATTTATTTATTTATTCATTTATTTATTTAATTGCCTATTTATTTATTTATTTATTTATTTATTTATTTATTTATTTATTTATTTATTTATTTATTTATTGTTTAATCATTTCTGTACAACATAATTCACAATTTTACTTCTAAAGATTAAACGTCCCAGGTAGTAAAGAATTCTGGCCCAGATTTGGCATAAAGCTGGCATAGCAGGCATTCAACCGGCTATGGCATACAGCATGTATTTGGCAGAGGTTTGGCAGAGGTGGCACTATCTTTAAGACTTGGGCCAGATCAAATGTAATATTTGGCCCAGATGTTAAAAGTGTATATGTGGGCCACATAAGTTTGGCCTATGTTGACCCACTTTTAAAATGCATTTAAATAATTTTTGAGTAAAGAAACATTCATTGCAGTCATGACACACCAACAAATCTGGCCCAGTTATGTAATTAACTTGGATGAAACTTGGCCCAGATATGGTCCATGTTTGGCCCTTGTATGGAACCCAGACTTGGTCCAATCATGTACTGTAAATTACTGCGGCATGTGGGCCAAGCAAAAGCTGATTGTGTGGGCCAGAGCTGGGCCAGAGACATTTTGCTATGTGAGATGTTTGAGCTACAAACATTTTATTAATCCTTCAAATAACAAACAGGCATTTTCAATTTCCATTGGTAAACACATATAACATTATATCCAAGCAGCAAAAAATAAACAAAATAGTAAAAAATAATAATAACACCATAAATAATACATTCAATCATACTAATACAAATTAAAATACATTTAAGAGAGTCAATCCATATAAGCTGACAAAGTAAGAGCTTTAAAGCAGTTTACATGTTTTATAGATTTAAATAAAATTCTGAAATCAATTATTGTCATCAATCGCCCCATTTAAGAGGAGAATGGAACGCTCCATCATCCCTCCCGCACTCGTTTAGTTTCTCCCGTAACCCGGCAGATTTTCCCACGTGACCGCTGCAACTTCCTTTCTTGTGGCAGCCATCGAGAAAAATGGTGAGGGTTTTGCTGAAACCGAACAATCTAAACCAATCTTGTCGAAAATACGTGTTAAATCACAACGAGAGCAGGTTTTATAGAAACTTTAAATTGAACGCTTGACTTTGAGTCCAGTATTTCAATCGATGATTTTAAAATAAATTGTTTTTTGAGTGATGAGGCGATGCATTGGGTGGCCTCCTGAAGCTGTTCAGACGGGTTAGCCTGTTTAGCCTAGCATATGATTTGGAGCAGCTTTAAATTGCGTTTCTAAATACTCAAAAATGAAATTATCGATCTGGATTTCCACACTTTGGCTTTCAGTTGATAAAAGCAGTTGGACGTAAATTAAATCTTGTAAAACACGTTTATTTGATCGCTTTGAGCTGACATGCGTCTCCAAACTGTCGACATTAGTGATATTTATCTAACACATTAGTGATATTTATGTAACAGTCGTGTATTCACTGTGCAAATGTCAAAAGCATAAGTTTAGTTTGGCACGTCTGTGCTTATGTTTGTGTCTTTCCTATCTATATACGAACACACACCAGTGTTGGGTGTAATCACTGTAATTAGATTACTTTTAGGTAGAAAAAGTGAAGTAAGGGACTACTTTTCGTTTCCAGGTAATTTAATTACAGTTCATTGTAATGTACTTGTGTTAATGTATAAAGGAAACAGTTCTGGATAAATCAACCATGAGAAGCAGAGTTATGAATGGATGAAGTCTCGAGAAACACTGTCAGTGAAAATTTGTATGAATATTGTTATTGACTTTGCATATTTTGTTACATGTTTATTATTCTTAAGGTGTTACCATTTTTAATACTGCTTAAATGACTTGTTTGGCTGCAAGTTGAGTTTATTTTCCATCATTTATATGGTATTGAGATTTATATGTAATGCACTGAATTTTAAGTCAAGTTATTTTAGTTGAGTGACTGAGTTACTTTTCAGACACAGTAAAAATTGAGTTTAAATACAAATTTAATGATGTAATTTTTGAAGTAACCCAGCACTGATATGTACAACTAAATAAACTTGTTCTTTTTAATACTTTGTACAAATAAATTCTGAGTACGTAACTTTACATTAGCATTAAAATGTTTAGTTTGCGTGAATGTTAATGAGTAATTTGTGTTTTAGGCAAAGATCAAGGCCAGAGACCTTCGCGGAAAGAAAAAGGAGGAGCTGCTGAAACAGCTGGATGATCTGAAGGTGGAACTTTCCCAGCTCCGCGTTGCCAAGGTTACCGGTGGAGCTGCTTCCAAGCTCTCAAAAATGTGAGTGATGGAGGTAGACTTAAGCCAGGCTCATGTCTACTACTAATGCCAAGTTCAGACTGCATGATTTTCAAAGCAGTCGTGTCGCAGATGTTTTCACACTGCATGACTATCTGGGCTTGCGATTTGTCGCTTCTTTGTTTACACTGCAAGATGGATCAGCGACAGGGGCTTTCACATTGCATGACTTTACAATAGGAAGAATCGCCAACAACTTCGTCTTAACTACTCATTACAACTAAAAACACGGAGTTTATCTTTTGTTATTAACTACATAACAAACAAGAAGCCTTTAATGGGGTAGAAAATGTACATATTTGCCCACCTGGGTTTGAAGGGAATTAGCCATGTCTCCTCGACTTAGCCATACCTTTCCCGACAGAACTGGGTGCTCCTGTCAAACCTCCACTAGTTTTTCGTCCATTTCTTGCGTCTAAATAAACCGAAAATGAGCGCTTTAAACTTCTCCCCTAGCCTCCTGCAGGTACACACACACACACACACACACACACACAAGTGAAAGCTGCTCTCTCATTGGCTGTTGGTGATCGCTGATGTTATTTTCAGTCCAAACTCAATTCACACGGCATGATTTGAATCGCCGACAGCTCCAGATATTTAGCACGTCAAATATCTCACAGGCATCGGCGACTTGTAGGCGATTCTCTCAGATCGCGTCATTAATAGTTATTTTGAGTAATTATTGTCACTCACTTGCACAAGCACAGATTAGCCTGTGATTTCAGGTATTTGTCGGCGAGTCAAAATCTGGGCTAAAATGATGCAGTCTGAACTCCGCATAAGATGTCACCTGATTCATTTTGAAATGTTTTCATCGCTATCATTTTCCAAATGTTCTTCGAAAAGGCTGAAAACTCTTTTCGTCCCTGTACTCTGCATGCGTTAGGATCCAAGATGCTTTAGCCTGCATAATTTTCGTATGATGTTTAATTTCTGGCTCTATAAAGCATCACAGCAAAATGTCTAGGAAAACTGACAGGCCTTTTACAAGCCTGATGGTGAGGTGGAGATGTTGTAAAGGCCTGTTTACTCCAAGCATGATAAAGATGGTTCTAAAAGTCAGTGTTAAAAGAATAGCATCGCTCACATTCTCTTGTCGGGATTACATTCAGAACCATTTTTTCCAGCTGATGCTTTGTGTGAATAGGCCTTGACACAGCATGAAGTTTGCAAAAGCGAGCAAAAAATAGTGTAGCAGACAAAAGCTCTGAATAAACAGTGCCACCTGAATAAAAGCAATCTAGACCTGTACAAGCTGACAATTCATTTACATGGCTGAATCCAAAACAACTGCTGTACCCAACTATATCTGAATAGGTTAAATGACTAAAAAAGCATAATTATCAGTTCACATGGTGACTTGATAATGGCATTGTCCTATTGGCCTACTTTGAAGAGTGCTTATAAAATTATTTGTTGCCCAACACTATCTCGGTGTGGCCTGAGGTCTGTTCTTCGTAACTGGCTTAAATGATCTAAGATGATTTGGCAGATTCTGGATCTTTTAATCTTGATTACTGATCTCTCGCTAATTTGGTTCTTCAAACAAGTTCGTGAATCGGATTAAAATGTCTGGATAAACTGATCAGATCCCTGCGTGTGTTGTGAAGGACATCTATCGATCTTCAATTATGATCAGCAATGCAACGATTGGCTGACGGCACAGCAGCGTAATGACATCATCTGTTTAATATTCAATTATCCATGTGAGCAAAATTACAGAATTTATTGTAAATGGTTTGTTAAATATTACACGCAATAACTTTACACCTTGTTATGGGCTGCAAGATTGGCCCTTTTATGTGTCAAGAGCAGTTTATTTAGTTATACAGTTAGAGCGGATTTTCCTTATTATAGTACCCATAGTAGTATTAGAGTAGCAATTTTTTTATCAGTGTAAAGAATAACTGGATGTTTAGAAAATCAAAGTTTTCTCTTTGCACCACCAGGTAGCAGTCTTTGTACTTTCATTTCGGGGCTGCAGATTGCATACGTTTTATTAATATGTATAACTTCATTTATTTTAATAATAACTATAACTTTATATAGTTTTAAAAAAAAATTATTTTCCCAAGTGTATACAACTACTACTGTAAGAAAATATCAGAGTTTGGTACATACTTTCTGTATTATCTTTGCTTGAACTGAGCCATTCTAATCCTGTTTATATGAATTAAACCTGCTTCCAACCGGGTTTGAGCTAGCAAAACTGTTGCTATGACGACAACTTTCAGATCAGTTTTGAAGAACGAAACGATCCTGGATCATGTCAAATCGTCAATAATCAAATCCAGCTAACTGAGTAATCCACTATGAAGAACGGACCCCCAAAGGCTAAAACGGAGAAAAACACGTATTTTAGA